TCCCGGAAGTTACTTACTTCCGGGTTCACCGACCAACCGGTTCGCAGGGACCGCCGCAAACCGGTTGAAAACCACCCCTGGTGTGTACATACATGTGTACACACAGACACACACACACACACACACACACACTAAATGTGATAACCCCATTGGATATTAGGGTATAATATCAAAGACAGCTTATACGAACCCCGTAGAAAATTAAACAACCTAACAATAAAACAGTCAATGGCCTGAGGACAGAACTAGCTCCTGGGATACCTGCCAGAGACTGGAAAACATCAATAGATTGGCCATCCACCCTTCCTCGGGCTTCTGCTCTCAGAGCTAATTATTTAGTGATGAAGGAAAAAATAATGCATGCCTCAAAGGTGTAGTAGTCTCAGTTCACGTGGAATGACACACAGGGCCGACTCTACAAAAAGGGAAAGGCAACTTCCTCAGAAGGCAGAGCTAGGTGGAGACCAGGAATGGTAGCCAAGCATGGAAAGAAAAAGAGTTCTTATGTCCTTTGTCACCTGCCCTGTAACCCAATTAGCCAGTTGCCCTCGGGCACAAAGAAGAATGTTGTATAGCCAGCTTCTGTGCGTGGAACTGGGCCTAGACAAATGGGACCCAAGAGGTATGTCAAATCTGCAGCTTCCAGAAAAACAGGCACAGAGTTTATGCAGCAAATTGTAGGATTTCTAAAGTAACAATTCAGACTAGAAGGATTTTTCAACAGCAGTAGGTTTAACACGCCACCGTTCCGAGCCATCAAAGAGGAATGTATTTGGTGAACTTTCTGCACGTCAGGGAAAAAGGGAAAATAAGTCTTTTTTTTTTTAAGACTGGCTTTTTATGTCATACTTATCACCCAATTGGGATCTGGGAAAATGTTCTGCCCTGGGTCATTGTGGCTGACAATACAATTAGCATAATTGATGCTAAGCACATAATTTGAAGGGTGTGAATCCCTCTGCAGAAAGCCACCCTTCCCCATCTGTGGCATTCCTGAGGAAAAGAAGGATAGCGTCATCATCTGAGGCCTGAACAAGCTGTGTTTGGTTACAAACCAAATTTGGAGGCTTTCTTGCTTTCATCTACTTCTGGAGCACTTATGAAATTTAAACACAAAGAATGGTAGTGAATAAGGAATCACCTACCATCTATGGAAACAGAGCACATTGCCTAAGTGGTCTTTGATATGATTTAACATGTATTTTGTTGTATCCCCGGTCTAGCCATGCACTTCCCAGATGAGATCCAAAAGGAACTGGATCTGCTGATGGTCATAATTTCTCAAAAGTGGAATAAGCTTTTCCTCTTCGCAACTGGGCCTACATACAACTTGGACAAGTCTAATGTCAAAAAGCCCTCGTTGCCATATTTTGCTGCAAGGTGACTGTGACATTCCTAGTATTAGTCATTTCTTGCACATTCAAAATGCTACATCTGCTTGTAAACAGAACAAATGACTTCCCCCCATTTAATACTCTTGTGTATTTACTGTCTTTCCTACATGCAGATTTTGCAAAACGCTTCAAGCTACCAAAACAGGCACAGCCCATCAGCCACGTACAGCGGCTAATGATTTATTCAAATGCCTCCCCATGTTTCATTACCGCAGGCAGACAACAGGAAAAAAAACAAAAAAANGATTTCAGCATTGGATATTCTTTCAGAGTACTTGATTTTCGTAAGTCTACGCAAGCAACGGTTTTGAAATAAGTCCAGTTTGTGTTGATGAGCAAC